AGGACAGAAAAAGAGAGGAAAAAAGAAAGAATTCCTGGAATCTTGGGAAGTGCCGCTGGTATGAGACACACAAACTGGAGTTTTACTGGGGAATTTGCACAGACAGCTTCTAGCTGGTTTTGCGCGCTGCAGCTCCTCTATGTGACCGATACCCGGACTCTGGGACCCCCGCCCCCTCCCCAGCACCTTGACTGTGCCTAGTTGCTCTGAGGTAAAAATTCACTCTTATTTCTGCCCCCTTTCTCACAGTCTGCAGGCTGAGTGAGCAGCTGGGAAACAGCGAAGGCCCCGGACGAAGACCTGCGTACTGTATTTTCTTCTTACTTGTAAAATGCATAGAAGGTGATTTAGAAAAACTGCATATATCATAGACCGGAGATTTCTGTCCCCAAGAACGGGAAGAGCCTTTGGAAAAAAATAAACCCCAGAGGCTTTGCGAAAGGTGAACATTTACAAAACTGCGTAATTTCTGCACGGGGCTCGTGTCTTTCTCACACTCACGCATACGCACACTTGTGCGCTTGCACACACACACACACAAACACACACACACACTCGCCATCTGTGGTCGTCGCAAGAGTCCAGTTCACACTTCCAAAGTGAAGGAGTCAGGAGAGGGACCGAGGGGCACAGTGTTACCAGGTCAGGCGCAGTCTACAGCCAAACGCACTCTGCAGACTTCCTGCGTGGCAGTAGGTTTCCAGTTGCTTAAACAGTATCAAGTCCGTGGATGCCAACCCCCCTCTAATCTCTGTACATGCCGCTGCGCATAGATGCGGGGTTTCCCCAGCCCGCACGGAAGGGTTTCTTCTGTGTCCCGCGTGCATTCCAGTCTTCGACTCAGGGGGGCGCTGAAATCTCCGTGTTCCTGGCAGGGAATGAGACAGATGAGAAACGATCTCTCCGGTTTCTACATAACGTCTATATTCGACGTTTCACATCTCATCGTCTATGTAAAACTTCCTTTCCACCAACCAGGCAGGAACCCCCGTTATTCTTGGTTCCCTCCTACACAGTTTTAATTACTCAGGGTCAACAGCAGTCTGGAAATATTCACTGAAGCCCTGCACGGTGGAGCACACCCGTTCGTCTTAGCACATGGGGAGGGGGAGGCAGGGGAATCACAAGTTCAAGCCCAGGCTGGGAAACTGTGCAACTTCGTGAGACCCTGTCTGAAAAATAAAAATAAAAAAGTGGCTGGGGATGGAGCCCAGTGCAAAGACCCTGGGTTCAACATCCAGTGTTATAAGAAAAAGAAAGAAAAGAACAGAAAGGAAAAGAAAAGAATCCGTGTGTTTGGAGGTGGAGCTTCTACAGATTGATTGGATCATGGAGCTCGGATCTCATAAATGGATTAACTGACCCATGGGATCATAATTCAATGGCATTATTCACAATGTGGGAAATTCGGGAAACTAGGTGAACAAGTGCGTCATGGAGGTATGAAGCAGGGGACAGTACCTGGCTTCCACCCCCTTCCCCCACCTCTCTCTCTCTCCCCCTCTTTCTCTCCCTCCTGGTGGCCATGATGTGAGCATCTTCCCGCCCCCCCGCCCATCCACCATGATGCTCCTATCTTGGAGCAGCCGATCATGGACTGAACCCTCTGAAACCATGAGCCTAATAAACTTGTCTTTTAAGTGGATTTTTCTCAGGTGTTTTTCTTACAGTAATGGAAAGATAACTAGTACAAGGTCCCAAAGCATAAATAATCAACCCTTGGATTGCAAGTAACTTGGTCTGTGAGTGTTCTGAAAGATGAGCAAAGATTCCTAAGTAGTACTAACTTGATAAACAAGTATGATATCGCAATACAAGTAGGACATGATGCTGGATGTCACACAATCACAACTGATCCCTCCCCGTCTCTCTCTCTCTCTCTCTCATGTTGGTATACAAATGGAATGAATTATTCTCACAAACTAAGGTTTTACTGCACTACCAAATCTCCATGTCTACTGTTTATTTTTTTAAATTTCTTATTTTTTTTTGGTACTGGGACTCAAACTCATGACCTTAGGCTTACCAGGCAAGCGCTTATGCCACTGAGCTATATCCTAGGCCCTACTCTTTTCAATATCTGTTATACATTGTATAACAGGATGGATTTTGTACATATTGTATATTGCATTGCAGTGAATCTTGTACACTGAATAACTGTACACACATTTAATATCATATATTGGATATCATGTATATGCACACATGATAGCTTAGTTTATAAATTATGCACATTAAGAGATTAACAATAGTAGAATACAACAATTTAATAAAAGGCATATGTGGTCCTTCCTCTCTCTCTGTCTCTGTCTCCCTCTACTGGCAACATAATCTATGACTGTTACATTAAGCTTTATACCCAGCCATTCTTTTATTCTTCATTTTGACAAAGAGTTTTGCTAAGTTGTCTCGGCTGGGCTGGAATTGGCGATTCTCCTGCCTCAGCTTCCTGGGCAGCTGGGTTTACAGGCATGCAGCACCACATCTAGCTCCTGTCTGTTAAAGTATCTTTCTGCTATCTTTGTTTTTATAACAGTGGGAGATAGGACCAACGCCACATGGGGAAGGACCTATGCTCTGGGACTAGCATTAAGCTACTACAGAAAGGTCACTTAAAGAATGACATCAACGCAGCGATAACTGGCCTGATAACTCAGATGGTGACCAAGGGGTAGGTAGCACATAAAACATGGGTAAATGGGACAAAGAGATCACCCATGTCCCATGCAGAATGCAGCACAAAAATCATGAGACTTTATGATGTTACGCAGAACCAGAAGCAATGTAAATCTTAAATATTGGTCATTTCTGAAACTTTCCATTTAATACTTTGGTACAATACATCAGGTTAGAGTGGACCGCTGTGGTGCATTATTTTGTAATGGGGATTGAACTCAGGGAACACTAAGTTACATCCCCAGCCCTTCTTTTACGTTTTCTAGTCTCAGTTGGTTTTGCTAAGTTCCCCACGCTGGCCTGAAACTTAGGATCTTACCGCCTCAGCCTCCTGAGTAGCAGAGATTATAAGCATGCTCCGCCATGCTCACCTTGAACTTTGACTTTTTCTGTTTCTTATTTCTATCCGAGTAAATGAAAGATGGACTCTGTACCTTGTAAATACCTGACCTTGAGGTGGGGTAGCATCAACTTCATTTTCTGCTAATTCCTCAAAATAAAGGCAGACCTTACCTTCCAGACGTGAGTTCCAGTCCTCAGAAGTTCTTGAAGATTTCCAAATCTTTCTCGGTCACCGGAGGAGCTGGGTCCCAGTCATTCTCGGGGTAAGTTTCAAAGTTGGAGGTATCACCATCGCCCGATAACTTGGGTACAATGGGGGGCTGTGGGATGCCACGGAAAAATACAGTCATGCTTGGAAAGAAACGGTGGGGTCTTGAACACTGTGTATAACACCTAGGGAGCATGTCTGGTCTCTGGTCACTTCCTGTCTGCCCACCCCCACTTCCTGGCCACCAAGATGTGAGTATCTTTCCTCTGCTAAACCCGTCGGCCATGATGCTCCTGCCTTGCAGCAGCTGGCCATGGACTGCACCCTCTCAAACCATGAGCCAAAGTAAAGCTGTGGATGTCCCAGTAATGGGAAAGCTGACTGATACACCTGCCTGCCCAGGTCTAGGAGATCGGGATGTAATTAGCCAGCATTAATGAAACACTGGTCCTCTTGAATTACTGTAAAGGGACCCGTGAGGTGGAGGTATTCCCCACCTAGAGACAGTGTGTCCATATTTTCATTTCTGCAGCTACCACTACTTCTGCTGCAACTACTGAAGTAGGCACTTGTGGCATAGATGCTCCCCTAGACCACCTGTGGTGAATGGATGTGGCTTTGTGTCAATAAAACTTTATTTATAAACACAAGCAAAGGGCCAGATTTTGACTGTAGCTTGTAATTTGCTGATTTCTGGATATGTGATGGTTGAACCCACAGGCAACTCAAAGATTCTAGGAGGTGCACAGATACCAACTAAATCTGCCATAATCTCCTGAAATTCTTATGCTCGCTTTCGAGCCTTCTCTGAGTATGCTAGAAACATTTCTCCCCTCAGTTTTCTTTATTTCAGGGCAAGAATCATGAGGTGATGTTTGTCTTCAAGTCAAGACCAGAACACGGCTGGGCATGGTGGAGCACGCCAGTCATCCCAGCACTGCGGGAGGCTGAGGCAGGAGGATCTTGAGTTTGAGCCAGCCTGGGCAACTCTGTGACTTAGCGAGACCTAGTCTCAAAATAAAAAAAAAATAAAGTGCCAGGGATGGAAGTCAGGGTGAAGGCCTTGAGTTGAATCCAGTATGGGAAAAAGTAAAATTGCATCAAGCCACAGTTTTCTGACCACTGGTCTGGCAAATGTGTCAAAATATTCGGCTCCGTCTTTGGAGGCTGCGTAGATACAAAGGAGGACTTGGAAATTATTCCCCTAGGGGCTGTGAACACGTACAATCTCTGTGGAGAAAGAAAATTGAAAACAAGCAAGACTTCTGGAGGGTTTAGCGGCTGAGCCAGTGTGGAAATTTCTCCTCGCCAACACGAAATAAGCCAGGGTACTCTCTGGAGGAAGCAACCAGCAGACTCTAATCCACCCATCCACGGAGGGACCCTGAGGCCAGGACACACAGCACCAGGACCGCATAGGAAGCGCTTGGGAAAAAATGACCTCTCAGGAGGCCGAGGCAGGAGGACCACAAGTTCAAGCCCTGCCTGGGCCACTTGATAAAAATCCTGTTTCAAGATTTAACACTTGAGGGCTGGGGACGTAGCTCAGTGCAAAGGTCCTGGGTTTAAATCCCAGTACTACAAAAATAAAAATAAAATAAAATAACAAAATAAAGTAAGAGTAGAACAGAATAGAATAGAATAAAATGAAAAAAGGTTACAGGCAGGGGTGTAGGTGTCCCGATTAGAGCTATTAGTATAAAATGCAATGCTCAAACCCTCTGGCTTGTACTCCTGTACATTTTGTATAAAACAGTGTGGAAAAAAAAAGAGTATTTCTATGCATATGGCCTTTTATTAGTGTAAAGAAACCGGAAGAAGACAGGGAAAAATCTAATAAAATGTGACGGCCTACAGGTGCTTTGGAAGCAGACAGAGAAGCTGGCCACGCACAACTTTCCACACTGTCTTGGTTTTGGAAATACTGGAAGAAGAGACTACCGAGGCAAAAACGGTTTTCCAGCGGGGGGAGCGGGGAGGAGTAAACAAAAAAAATGGAACCCACGGCCTTCGTACTGAGGTGCAGCCCCAGGAACTGTCATTTCTTATTTTGAGGTCTTGCTAAGTCGCTAAGCCCAGGCTGAGCATGAATTTGCGATCTTCCTGCCTCAGCCTCCCAGAGCGCGGGATGACAGGCGTGCGCCACCGCGCTCGTGCCCGCCGAGAACCTCCGCAGCTGACCTCTAAGCGGTCAGAGCTGCGGCGCGCTGGGCGGCTGGGGGCTGGGGCTGGCGCTGACCTTTAACTTCCTCTGCGGGACGGAGTCCCAGTCCACGGCTCGGAACCAGCGGTGGCGCTTGACGTCTTCCGCTCCGTTCTTCAAAGCAAAGAGAGGCACACAGGTGAGGTCAGCGCTTTAGCTACGTTCTTTTCTTCCTGTCTTTTTGAGACAGAGCTTTGCTACGCAGTTCAGGCCGGCCTTGAGCTCACTGTGTAGCCCAGGCTGGTCTTCAACTCACAACGATCCTCCTGCCTCAGCCTCCCGAGTGCTGGGATGACAGGCGTGCGCCACCACGCCCGACTTATTCAGCATTTTAAAGACGTAGAAACTGGAGGTCCCTGAATGGTGTATAAGGCATGAGCTAAAAATATGGGGAATGTTTAAATTTTAAAAGTTAGTGTCAGTAAGACACGTGGTCCTGAATCCCTCTCAAAATCCTTCCGCCGATAAACGCACTCATCCCGCCGTCCCGGCCACTTCCTACAATAGCCCTGGAGGCCTCTTTCCTGAGGGTCTTCCGAGGTGTGATCAGAAACTTGGTGACTGCTAGTGCCGAGTGCTGTCCAGCGGAAAGGCAGCTCCTAAACACACGACGCTGTGTTGTCGTCCACCTCAGTCACCAGATCCGGCACTGTGTGACTTCCGGCTCCTCCCCAAGGTCAAAATGACCAGGAAAGGTCAAAGTTTTGACTCCATTCAGGACACTGAGGTAACCAGGACAGCACAGCTAAACACCCTCAGGAAGGAGGACTCCAGAGCTGCTGCAGAAAGCGTCCAGGATGGCAGGATGAGTATGTGCAAAGCCGGGAGGATTTCGAGGGGACTCATGGTAATATGACTTTTACTCTAACAAAGACTTTTACTGTAGCACATCTAAAAATCGGAAATAATGGAAACATCCATGATGGATGAATGGGTAAACACAATGTGGTGGAGTACTACTTAGTCATGAAAAGGTACGCAACACCAGAAAAAGAACAAAGAAAACACTGTCAAGCAGGGGAGGCTGGACAGAAAAGCTCATGTTCATACAATTTCACCTACAGGAAGATGAGAATAACAACATCTGTAGGGACAGGAAGCCCATGGGTGATTTCCTAAGGAAGGGTGATTAGAAGAAAACCTAACAGTCTGAAAGCTGACCGGCACCTGATGTCTTGTTTAGAGCAGTTGAAAACCAGTTAGAGTTGACTATAGTAAGGGGTTACATATTGTGCCTATAGGAAAAGCCACTAAGGTGGGTGTGGTGGTGCACACCTGCAATCCTAGCACTCTGGGAGGCTGAGGCAGGACTACTGCAAGTTGGAGCTCAGCATGGGGTACTCAGTGACCTAGCCGAGACCCTGTCTCAAAATAAAAAGTGAAAATGGCTGGGGACGGAGCTCAGTGCAAAGGCTCTGGGTTCAATCCCCATTACCACCCCAAAAAAAAGAAAAATCATTGAATTATGCACTCAGAATGCATGAACTGATTGTTGGTTTTTCAATTCTATCCTAGAAGTTTTTTTAAAAAGTATAAACAATGGAAGCCAGCCTTGGTGGTGCACGCCTGTCATCCCAGCACTCACCAGGGAGGATGAGGCAGGAGGATCTCTGTGGGTTCGAGTCCAGCCTGGGCTACATTGTGAACTCAAAGCCAGCCTGGACCACACAGCTAGACCCTGTCTCAAAAACCCAAAAAATACATAAATAAGTAGTACAGTATAGTACAAACAAGGAGCAATGAGTTAAAAATGACCGCGATGTCCTAGGCGTGACAGAGGGAACGGGAGGTGAGGCAGAGAGGCAGGCTGAGGCTGTAAACCCCAAAATCCAGATGGAAAATTGGGCCCACATGGAAAGCCGAACCCCGAGCCCGGGTCTAGACCTGCAAAGCCCGAGCTGGGACCGCAGGAGCTCCCTCAGCGCCCTGATGGGGACGGGCCCCCCGGAGTCAGACACCCACCTTCATGTTCCCCAGGCGCCGCGTGCGGTCCACCACAAGCAGCTTCTTGATGAGGTCTCTGTTTGAGAAGAAATAAAGAGGCAGATGCAACCTGAGACGCTTCACACAGATGCGGCTTAGAGACAGAGAAAAGCCACCCAGGCCGCCATATGCATTTGGACCACGGCTCCACTGAGACTTTCGCAGAACACTTTCTAAGCCTCCGTCTGTCCCTCCCGTCCATCCTTCCTTCCGTTCTCCTTCTTCCTTCCCTCCTTCCCTTCCTTGCAGTGGTGGGATAGAACCCAGCGCCTTGTCTACGCTAGGCAGACTCTATCACTGAGTTCCGCCCCTAGCTAGCACTTATTTCTTCCCATTGCCTCTTTGTACATTATTCGCATGGGGTCAGGCCACTGGGACAAACAGCCAGAGTTAAGGGGAGGAGCGCTGAGGAGTGTTTGTCAAGAAAATGGAAATTACACACTGCGGAGTACTAGTCTGCCATGAACAAGGATAGAACAGGAACTCTCCTTAAGTGAAATAACTATTATTAAGTGAAACAAATCAGACACACAAGCTTCAGTGTCACATAGTTTTGCTTCTATGGTGATCACAAAGTATAAATAAAGAGCAAAATAAGAGACAGACCACAGGAAGTAGGGAGATGGATCTTTCTCAGATGGGGAGGGATCAAGGGATGGAGGGCAGGGACAGAAAAGGAAACAGGGTCTTGCTATGCAGTTCAGGCTGGCTTTGAACTCACTATGTAGCCCAGGCTGACCCTGAACTTGCAAAGATCCTTCTGCCTCAGCCTCCCGAGTGCTGGCATGACAAGCGTGTGCCGTCATGCCCAGTTTTCTTTTAATGATCAAACAAATAAATAGTTCATTCCTCCATTAGATGCATTTAGCTCCTTTTTCTGATCAAGAGAGAGTAGTAAACCTGTCCATCCACTCACTGAACAAACGCAGTGAAATAAGTAGAAATTGAAGTTCATGTTGGTTTTTAAGAAAATACCCAAAAGGTGACCACGCGGATTGTCTGGACAACCAAAAGCATTTTTACACTAACAAAACAAAGTTATTTTTCCTACCCTATTGCTGCACCTTCAGTGTTATGAAAATTCAGCTCATGCGCATATTCTTGGAGCCGTGGGGCTCTGAACCCCTAGGTCGAGGATGGCGTGCATTTCAGGAAGAGATAAAAGATAAAGTCTGCTAAAGACATCAGCGGTTTTGCCCACCACAGAGATCAGTGAGACAGAAGAAAACTTCCTCTCAAATCTCAAAGGTACTTTTACCAAACCCCCGATGAACACCTTTATTGGCTAATTTTCAATATTCTTCATCTCCAAGGAAAGAAACCCGACCAAGAGTCATTCCCCCATCAAAGGTCGTTACCAGGGGAGAATTAAGACCTTGTCCCTTCCGGCTTGCAAGGAAGAGGGGACCCAGCCTGTGTGATTCTGGACGCGTCCCAAATATACACCCCGAGGACCGGGAAAGTGTCGCACTCACTTTGCACTGAAATCCAAATGTCTGGGGAAATCGATCTTTCCTGCGAGGATTTTTTGATAAATGCCGAATGGGTTGTCATCAAAAAACGGAGGAAACCTGTCGGGGGAAAAAAAAGGAATCTATTTTGAGTGGGAACCAAAAAACAAAACCCAAACAGAAAAAAACACAGAAAAGAAAATCTGCGCTTGGTCGCCATGGCTTTTGCTGCTTCAAGCAGGGAGGAAAAGGATTTATTCTGCACGCACTTTTCTCCCACACTGCAATCATCTTTATCTGAGGACGCAGGGGGAGGAGATGGTGCAGGGTCACACAGAGGCCCCGGCAGAAGCAGCGGGTCGGTCAGAAGGGCAGGGGTCCCTTGGTGACACGGCGGGTAGCAGCCTCTACCCAGCGTCTTGCTGCAATCCCTGTAATGATGACGGGAAAGTGAAGACCTCCCTGGCTTGGGGGTCACCTAGGGGATTAGTAAAGCATGCTTCTATGTGCATCTGTGCACGGCGTAAGCTGTGACATGTACATCCGGTCCTGAGACCCTTCCTCCCTGGCTCTGTCCACCTGCTCTGCTACAATGTGAGCATCTCTCTTCCCCAATGCCCGTCCGCCCCGATGCTCCTGCCTTGGAGCAGCTGGCCATGGACCGCACCTCCCAAAACTGCAAACCAAATCAAACCGACCATAGACCGCACCCTCCTCAACCGTAAAACCAGGAAACCTCTCCCCCTTTGAGTCTCAGGTGTTGAATAGTTCCTCAACGAAAGCACACTCCAAATTTGACTGAGATGGGCAGTATTCTCATTTCTATTTTTATTCTGTTTTCAGAACAGCTCTATGAGACAAACACGCATCGCCTTCATTTTACAGAGAAATAAAAAACCCTGAGACTCCAAGCAATGAAGGGATGTGCTAAGCGTCCCTCAGCTAGAGCAGGGACACGTACGTGACACAGGCAGCTGGAACACTGCATGTACCTCCCCCCGTGCACTAGCGGATTCGGACACGTAATAAATGATGCCTCCACCTTCAGTGTGTGACTCACCAGCACCTCAGAACACGAGTCTACTTCACATGAGGCGTAAACAGACACATAAACTTAAACATAACATGGTTTTTTTAATATGAGAAACAAAATATAAATAAAGAGCAAAATACACGGCTGAGAACAGGACGGAGGGAGCTGGACCCTTCTCAGATGGCAAAGGGACCACACAAGAGGAAATGATGGTATAGCAGTTTATTCCACACACATGGCTGAACACGTATGGTGCTCAATATCGCAGAGTATTACGGAAGACGGCACCTGATGTGGGTGAATTTAAGTCATGCCTTTGAGAGGAGGGTCACACAAAGCCCTGATCTTATCTTGTCCTTTTAGCGGAGATCAACCCCCAGGGGCTGGCAATGTGGCCCACAGCTTGTCTCTGTCAATAAAGTTTTATGGGCACACAGCCTGGCTCATTAATTATGCACTGTCTGGCCTGCTTCAGAGTGACAGAAGGAAGATGTAGTTGTGATAGAAGCTGTGTGCTCTTCCAAGCTGAGTGTTTCTCTCTTTGCTACCGTTTGGGTGTTCAAGGTCCTGAAAGGCTCAGGTGTTAAGATGGGCTACTGGAAACTCCTTTACACACTTAAGGAGGAAGTGATGTCAATGGGGGCGTGGCCTTAGAGTGGACCTAAAGGAGGAAGTGTTGTCAATGAGGGTCGTGGCCTTGGAGTAGACCTAAAGGAGGAAGTGATGTCAATGGGGGCATGGCCTTGGAGTGGGCCAACAGAAGGAAGTGATGTCAATGGGGGGGTGTGGCCTTGGAGTGGGCCTACAGGAAGAAGTGATGTCAATGGGGATGTGTGGCCTTGGAATGGGGCTAAAGGAGGAAGTGATGACATCATGGCATGGCCTTGGACTGAGCCTAAAGGAGGAAGTGATGTCAATGGGGGGGCGTGGCCTTGGAGTAGGCCTACAGGAGGAAGTGATGTCAATGGGGGGTGTGGCCTTGGACTGGGCATAAAGGAGGAAGTGATGTCATCAGGGGCATGGCCCTGCAGGGGATGCGGGGACCCCAGACTGTGAACCAGGGAAAAACTTGGTGTTGGTGACTTCCTAATCTCAGGTTTTTTGTTACAGCAGGAGAAGGCTGAGGGACACACTCTTTGAGCGACTGTAGCTGTCTTACAGAATGGGGGGGCAGATGAAAGATCCTATTTCCCTGAATATAAGACCCACCCGAGAATAAGCCCTACCCTGATTTTTGGTGATGCTCCTGAAAGCAGCCCTAGCCCAAAATAAGTCCCTGCAAAGTCTCAGCCGGAGGATGTGCTCCGGACATCTGCCGCACACGACGGACGGACGTACTGAATTATGGCTCGGTCCCCAAATAGATGCATGACTGTACTTGAAAAAAATGCAGGTTTTTGTACATGAATAAATGTAGATTTTTGTGCATAAAAAGAAAACATAAGACATCCCCGGAAAATAAGCCCTATTGTACCTCTGGAGTGAAAAATAAAGGGAAGAGCAGGTTTCACTTGGAGGGTAAGGTGGTGGATGACAAGATCCCCGCTCAGCTTGAGTACTACACCCCGTCTTCAGTGGCCATCCCAGCTCCACAGAAGGCCACCTCTCACCTCCTCACTGCCCGGGATAAAGGTTACAGTCCTTGCTCTGACAGAAACCAACAGACCTCGACTTTCTGAGACTGGAGATTACAAAAATTTCTGAAAATATGCTCAAAACAGAAATACACAGTCGGTTCTCCCTAACTGGAGATTCCAGACGTATAAATTCAATGAACTTCAGACTAAATTGGTAGGGGGAAAGACTGTATTGGTGCTGAACACATCCGCACGGATGTTCTTGCATTTCATGGTTGATAACTTGCTGAGACAACTATCTCCGTGGGCTTTGTGTTATATTGCGTGTTACCAGTCACGGAGAGATTATTTAAAGTATGTGGGTACATGTGACTACAATGTCAGTAGATTACATACAAACGGCATGCCTTAAAATTTTTAAAAAAAGTTTTCTACAGTACTGGGGACTAGAAGCAAGGCCCTCACCCTGAACTATAACCCAAGCCCATTTTTTTTTTAAATTTTAAGACAGCATCTGTCTTACTGGGTAAATTGCCTAAGCTGCACTAAAACTTGTGATCCTCCTGCCTCAGCCTCCCAGAGCGCTAGGATGACAGGTGTGCACCACCACACCCAACCGACTATGACATTTTATAAGAGTGATTAAGCCCCAGCTTTTGGGAGACTGAGGCAGGAGGATCTCCATGATTTCGAGGCGAGCCTGGGATACACAGTGAGTTCAAGGCCAGCCTCAACTACGTAGGAGACCCTGTCTCAAAAAAACAACAACCACCAAAAAAAAAAACCCAACAAAATAAAACAAAGTAGGATAGGGAATGTCGGCTGCATTCCTCCAGCTGGTTGAATCCAAATGCAAACCTTTCACAGATGTCTGAGGTTGAGATCCACTCTGAGAGGTGAAATGCAATATACAGGTGAAAGGGATCCTCTGTCCTCAGGGGAAAAGGGCCATTTGCCAGTGAAAGGAAATGCCACAGTACTGTACTCGGGAGAAAAGAGCAAAACATTTACCTGGGCTGGAAGGGGTAGTCTGCCTCCACAGCACACCTTCAAAACTCTGATTTTCTCGGCGCCTGGCTTTATCTCTGAGAACTCACTCACCAGCGGCGAGGGCCCTGAACATTAGCAGCCGGCATCTGGGTGTGAGTGGGGCCTGTGTGCTTTTAGCTCCAAAACTGGGGAGGCTGAGGCAGGAGGACTGCCAATTACATCCCAGCCTGGGCAATTCACAGACTTAGTGAGGCCCTGTCTCAAAGGAAAAAATCAAAAAAGGGCTGAGGATGGCTCGGCATGAAGGTCTCGGTTCAATCGCTACTAGTGCTACTACCTCTACCAAAAGCTGAATGCAATGACTATTAAGTGAAATGTAACTATATCATTCTGTATAATAATAAAAATATAAAATCTACAGCATATTATCAATAAAGTAGGGGCCGGGGATTTAGCTCAGGGGCACAGCGACTGCCTGGCAAGCACAACGTCGTGAGTTTGATTCCTGGTACCGGAAAAAAAAACAACAACAAAAAGCAAGATAGCATATTAATGATAATATATTGTTATGAATGTGTACTATAATATCCCATTACTAGGAATCTATTGATATAATATGACGCAATATTAACATTGATAATATTACCGTAGTAGTATAATATTCTGTGCATATTAATATATGACATCATTGCATATTATATAATTGTGTAATGTATTATAGAATTACATGTTATAATGCACCTCACAATTATGTAGTACAATACATGGTACAATCATATGTTGTGTATAATTGTACGTACAGCTGTACTACCAACTCGTTTCTACTTTATTCTAGTAACTCTTCTGAAGTCTGGCAATAGTATTGTATGTTAATGGTCTGTATTAGGAATACACTGTTCTGTTTATATAGCCTGTATTTGTGTAGCCTGCATTTGCATATCATGTATTTGCATATCATGTATTTGCATAGCCTGTATTTGCATAATCTGTATTTACTGTAACCTGCAGTGTCACATTGTATCCCTGCAATAATGGCAAAGAAACGAGCGATCCTCGGACAATGGCGCCCTCTGGTGGCCGAGCCCAGGAAGGACACGCCGCGCCTGACTCTGGCCCTCTGTTTAAAAATTTCCACTTTGATCAGTCCGTGCGCGCGGCAGGAATGATCACATTGCTCATGGCGAGCCGGTGCATGCACAGAACACGTCTCAGTTCTTTTCTTCTTCCTCTGCCTCCATCTCTTGGTCCCCTTCTCTTCTGCAAAGGCCAGTGTCTCCCTACTTCCCCTCCTCTGCCTTAGTTTTGCTCTACGATGTACCTCTGTGACGGAGGCGCAGGAAGGACCCCCGGGAACTGGCAGACACCGGGGAGCACAGGATCGGAAACTCGGGGAGCCCAGTCTAGTCCGCACTGTGCTGAGTACCGCGCCGGGCGGAAATCGTGAGCAAACTCGACGTGGGAACGCAGCACACTGGGGCCGGGTTTTGAACATACAAAACATTAAAGCCAGAAACTAAAATTAAAAGACTGTCGCCAAAAGGGGGGGTTGACAGATTAACAATAGATGACGGATTGATCGGCTGATGATGCATAAACTGGTAACAAAGGGCAGCTGGGTAACCGACGGCAAGAAGAGGGGTGCATAAATTCACTGACACGGATAAAGATGAGATAGACAGACGTACAATGGTAATGTATTGAGGCAGACAGGTGAAAGATGGGTGGAAAGACGCACGGACAGACACGTAGATGGGTGGTTGACAATAAATGGGTGAATGATAATGGATGGATGCTAGGAGAAATGAACGGATGGATGATGGATAGGTGGATGGACCGATGGCTGGATGGATGGATAAGTGGATGGGTGGATGTATGGACGGGTGGGTGGATGGATGAGTGGATGGATGGGTGGATGGGTGGATGGATGGATGGATGGGTGGGTAGATGGGTGAATGGATGGATGGGTGGATGGATGGCTGGATGGATGGATGGATGGATGGATGGACGGATGAGTGGGTGGATGGATGTGTGGATGGATGGATGGATGGATGGGTGGGTGGATGGATGGATGGATGGGTGGATAGGTGGATGG